TCTTAAGAGACGCGATATCTTCTTATCGGTTCAAGTGGTACATTTCCATGCGGCTTTGCATCCCGAGATATCTGTAGCTTAGCGATAGAGAAATGCCTACGTCATGAAGCTATCCGATAGCTCACTTGAGTTTCCGATCCTCTTTCACTCACTTCACTCGTTCACCAATGATCCAATGGCATTAATCCACCAATCCTTGCTAGCCAGTAAACAAACATCCTAGGTGCCTCAGCCATCCTTTGTAGTGACGCTCGTTTGACTTCAACCGAAACGTGCTGTACCCCGCCCGAAACCGCAATTGTTGGTGGGGTGAGTTTGAGGGTCGACCAAAAGGCGCGATGATGAATGGGGGAGCTGGAGTTTAGAGTCACATCTCCGATGCTACACCCTTTCTCGAGTGACTATAAAGAACCTGGCGTCCTCCTTTAAGCTCTAGTTCCCGATAACTATTATTATCAATAATACCATCAACTGTCACAATGCCTCTCCTACCTCAAAGCGTAAAGCCCCGCGTTATCCTTGGTCTTATGACCTTTGGACCTCCCGGTAGTGAGAAGCTCGACGCTCGTATCTTTGACTCGGAGACCTTCAACAAGGCGCTTGACGTCTTCCAGAGCAAGGGTTACAGTGAGATTGACACCGCACGTGTGTATGTCGGTGGAAACCAAGAGGGATGGACTGGTAAAGAGACCAAATGGAAAGAGAGGGGACTCACTCTCGATACCAAGGTCAAGTATCCCAAGGAACCTCGCGAAAACACCTACGACAAGGTCATCGAGTCAGTTGATACCAGTCTGAAGGAGCTTGGAACCGACTGCATTGATGTAAGTTGTAAACCCATAATAAGCTAGCAAGCACTAACATGATACAAATAGCTGCTCTACCTCCACCGTCCTGATCGTGGTGTTCCTTTTGCTGAGACCCTTGAGGCTATCAACAAGCTGCACAAGGATGGAAAGTTTGTAAACTTTGGTATTAGTAACTTCACCGCGTACGAGGTTGCTGAGGTTGTCATGACCTGCAAGTACAATAACTGGGTCCGACCTACAGTTTACCAGGGCATGTACAACTGCCTCACTCGTTCTATCGAGGCAGAACTCTTTGTGGCCTGCAGAAGGTACGGTCTTGATATTGTTGTTTACAACCCCATTGCTGGCGGTCTTTTGTCCGGCAAGATCAAGTCGATGGACATCGAGCCTGAAAGCGGTCGCTTCTCTGACCAGTCTGGTATCGGCAACACATACCGACAGCGTTACTTTAGAGAGAGCACATTCAAGGCTCTTAACGTTATCGAGCAGGCCGTGGAGAAGAACGGATTGAGTATGCTTGAGACAGCGCTGCGATGGATGGTTCACCACTCCAAGCTGAAGATCAAGGACGGCAACGATGGCATTATTCTCGGCATGTCCAGGGTGGAGCAGCTGGAGGAGAACCTGGAGATCCTTGAGAAGGGCCCTCTTCCTGACGAAGTGGTTGAGGCACTTGACCAGGCCTGGCTGTACTCCAAGGCAGACACGACTAATTACTGGCACGGGGAGTTGGAGTATACTTATGATGTGCACGAGGCTCTGTTTGGGGCATCGGCCAAGTAAATTGCGAGCAGGTAGACAGTAATATCTATCGTCTGACCGAGACTCACGTGCTATTCTTGATGAGTTCCAGTATTATCATGTACCGTAGGTACTATCTAATCTGACAGTGATACTGCATATGAGTATGTCTTGGGATTGGGGGCGCGTGGGAAGAATGTAAGATGGCACATGACTTTTAAGGCGTCATTTCGTTGGTGTGACGCCCTTGGCATTAGGCATTGTTATCTCGGTGATAGTGTAGCACGCAATCAGATCTTAGTTAGATCTAAGAGACATGTCAAAACCTGTTATTGTGCATGCATATATGGGTTCCTAGTAAAGTACTTTTGTAGTGAGTATCTGATGCAAAATAAGCCTCAGCCTCTGTAAAGTATTTTATCTCTAAAATGAGTGTTTATAAGTTAATATTTCCAACGGTCGAGTCATGGTTTCTAGGATATCCTAACCGCGATAACCTCTCTAGTGATTTCTATTCACCACCATGAATGCCTATAAAAAGTCAAGATAACCCCCATGCAGACCAACTGAACTATGGCGGCACCCCTAGTCTCCCCCGTGCCATCCAATTCCCCGCGCTGTTGGTCCCTTGCGAGTTTGGCCCCTGTAAAATGGGGTCTTGGGACCCGCTTGTCTCCGCCCTGGACTAGCCATGGCTGCTTTTCAACACCACCTTTACATACCACAGATCCAATACGACAGCTTCGATTCGACAGGTAACCCATATCCAGAAACACCCGGTCCAGTCGCTGATCCCAGCTAAACCGTTTCACTCTTTTGTCTTTTATTGTATTTATATACTTGTACTTCCCTGGTCCCTCCCTTTTTATCCTCGATGTCTCGCCGCAATAACAGAGAACAAGAGGCCAGTCTCCTTCAAGGTCGCGATCGAGTATCCCTAGATTCAGATTCGGATTCGGATTCTTCCACCTCATCCAGTGACGACACCACATGCGAACCAGCTTCATCCTCTACTGCCAGACCAAGAACTGTTGGCGCCCGTGGCACCGCCGACCATCCGAGCGACGCTTCCGATCTTGACACGAAACGCCACAATCGCAACAAGAACACCAAGACAAAATCAAAGATTGGCAGTGAAGGGTTGGAGTTGGACGATATGAATCCCAATGACGTTCGTCGCCCAAACTACCATCGCCACGGCGATGGTAAGTCTGGTGAACCCCTTCTTTTCAAGGAGGATGACCCTGAGCGCGGTCGCGCTGGCTATTCGCCTACCAGCGATACCGGGAGACGACCCAGCCAGGGATCAAGGGCGTCCAGCGAGGATGATCTCCCCTATCATCCAAATGAGATGATGGGACGTCCAAGTATGAGCCGACGATCCACAATGCGCAGCCGAAGCCCTCAAACCGTTGCCGAAGCTGCCGCAGATTCGACCAAGCAGAGGTACACGTACGCAGGGTTCTTCCTCATTGTCAGTTTGGTCGCATTTTGCGTCCAGACAGAACTGAGCGCATATATCCAGCATGACCTTGGTTGGGACAAAGCATATTGTATGATGTATTTCACCCACGGTTCTTGGGTTGTACTATGGCCAGTTCAGCTCCTTATTCTGCGCTTCCAGAAGCGTGATGTGCCATGGCCCGTCTTCTGGAAAAGACACAAGCAGCAATTGCGCACTACTGCCATCATGATTGAGAAGCAGACTCTCGATGTATTCCACATATCGATCCAGCACCGCGCCCGACCCGTTCGTTATTTTGTTCGCTTTACCGCTATCATTACCTGCGCCCTGACCGTCGCTGGGCTAAGTTGGTACATTGCTGTTAGTTTAACGACGCCTTCGGATCTGACGGCGATCTACAACTGCTCCGCCTTCTTCGCATACGTTTTCTCTGTTCCGATACTTCACGAGCCACTGCGTCTCGATAAATCGGTTGCTGTTCTTATCGCTATCGGCGGTGTCCTCGTCGTTGCTTATGGTGATACTAAGGAGGGAGCCGAGAGCGTCGAAGCCAGTAACAGGTTCTTTGGTAACCTTGTCATTGGTATCGGTTCCGTTCTTTATGGCCTCTATGAGGTCCTGTACAAGAGATACGCTTGTCCGCCTGAGGGCTGCTCTCCTGGTCGAGGCATGATTTTTGCCAACACATTCGGATCCTTGATTGGTCTTTTCACACTCACGGTCCTTTGGATTCCTCTTCCACTCCTTGATTTCTTTAACATCGAAAAGTTCGAGATACCCGAAGCTTCGACCTGCTGGCTCATTCTTCTTGCTGTTCTTTCCAACGCTACTTTCAGCGGTTCATTCCTCGTTCTTATTTCCCTGACATCGCCTGTCCTGTCATCGGTGGCTGCGCTCCTTACCATTTTCCTTGTCGCCATCGTTGATTGGATGATAACAGGGGAACCGTTGAGTTTTGCCGCCATTGTTGGAGGCGCGATGATTATCATAGCCTTCTTAGGCTTGACTTGGAGCACCTACCGTGAGATGAAGGAGCATGCGGCGAGGGAGCCCGTTGCCGATTTCACCGACAGCGACAAGGACGGCGACATTGATAGCGATGATGACTAAGTTTTAGTGCGTTTACACGGCGTTTTAGGTTTGAAGGAACGGTTATGGCAGAGGTAACGGCAGTTGATTCGTGTCGTGCCACCATATACTGCCTGTTGGATCAGATATATATATAGACTACATGGCACATGTAGAGGCGTTTATTTTTGGGTTAGGTTTCATGTACAGCCAGTTTATTATGGCTGAAGCACCACCAGGAGTCTGTATTGGACGGATGGATGTCGAGTGATAGACATCACATACAAAAACCTGTATGATAATAAAGAGAAATTTATCCTTGGGTTAGCTGGCAGCCAAGATCAGGCTAAGGATTTACTTGAACTTGGTAAATCCTCAGTGTGTTCTCGATTGTCAGCTAAAGGATCAATTTATCTTTATTATTTGTATTTGTTTTGTAGCAGCCGACACTCCGAAAGAGCTGCACGCTTAACACTACTTTTAAGTTATTAGAATCTACTATTAAGCGTGCAGCTCTTTCGGAGTGTCGGCTGCTACAAAACAAATACAGGTTTAATATCGATGGTAAGCCCTATGGCATTGCTGCTCTAACTACTATTCTCACTGTTGCACCGTTGTTCAGCTTGCATCTCTTTATGATTGGCAGCAAGGCACAATAAATAGATCATCAAAAACAAATTTCATACGAGAGCTCCCAGATATTAGAACATATCAGATTTAGATTTTAGCCAATCCAAATAGAAAGTCGTGTCATCGTAATCATCCATGTTCATATCATTCTAAATTCAACATAACGTTAAGCAAAAATAGCCTGAAGCAAAGAAAGAAAAGAAAAGAAAAGAAAAGAAAAGAAAAGAAAGAGAGATGCGCCCCTAATATCATTGTTAACAAAATTCCTCTTGCGGTGATTTGGAACCTTAAAATTCATCTTCTGCAGCTTGTTCTTGGCTGTCGTCTTGGGCAACATTCTTGACGAAAACACCCTCGCTCTCTTCCTTCCACCCGTTTACGCCATTGATCTGAGCATCATACGTGTTCATCCTCCAGACACCTTCTGCTGGCTTGTCGCCCGACTCAAATACTCTCAAATTCTCCCAACCCTGCTGGGGAACAGGTTGCAGCAACTGACGCACGAGGAGGGCGTACGATGTATCACACTCGAGCCACAGATCGGAAAGATTGACCTTTGCAAGACTACTGCTTTCCCAAAAGTCGCGGTCCTTGGGCATGAGCTGCACAAAGAGGTGCTCAACGGGTGGACAGTGAGGAATGAGAAAGTCTGAGATCTGGTGGGAAAGGGGGAACGTAGCAATGTATGATAGCGATTTGAGGTTTTCGCGCATGACGCTGAACGAAAGGTCTGAATCGTTAAAGATAGCAGGGAGAATAGTTGGTGCTGAGTAGTGAAAAAATTCGTAGGTGGAGTAGACAGGTGCGAAGGATCCTTCGTTGATGAGAAGTGAGGGCCAGTCCCTGATGTGGAATAAGTCGCAAGGGATACGATCCCGCAGTCCAGGTTGCTGTGACGGTAGCAGATCTGATCCTCTCTTGCTCCCGGGACTACGAGATGGTCGTGATAGCGATAGAACATGGTATGTGCTATCGAAAGCCCAGTTGCTCGACAGATCAACAGATCGGCTGAGAAAAGAGGCGAGGGTTTCTATTGGGCTGATTAATGTGATGCGCAAAGGATCTACAACGTTGAATATGGTGTGCCAAAGCCAGTTGTTGTCCCAATGGACCTGCACGCTGTCTTCATTGTGTCTGATTTCTTCATGTCTGATTTCTTCGTGGTCGCCGTCGCCCTCATTGTCTGGCACAGACTGGAACCAGTGCATGGAGGGACGTGTCTCTGGTTGAAGCTGTGCAGGGGGCAAAACTCCCCAGAACTGATCATCGGCATTTTGAATTTGACCAGACTTCAGAGGAACATCAACCAGAATAGTGAAACTTTCGACAGTGGATGACAAGTTGTTGCGACGTATGAAACTCAAGACCTCGATTTCGGACACGATGTCTTGTGTAGTTGGCTTGTAGAAGCGCCAAAAAGACCAGACGACATGTCGAAAGAGAGGTTTTAACAGAGAAGTTCTCCAGAGACGACAGACTAGCGAAGCATTCTTTAAGGGTGTATTTGACCTAGATGGCACGGGTCTCGAGAGTTTTGTAGGGTCTTGGTAGATGCGACTTTGTAGATCGGCTTTGGGGTCGATGAATGTAAGAATGTGAGTGACGAGCTCGACGGGAAGGTTATGCATCGTCAAATTTCCGTGAACATGATCCATTGAATTCAGGTTTTGGTTTCAGAGAGAAACGTTGTGGGAGATTGATGTAAAGTGTGAGTTGACTGACGACGCGTTGATGACGAACCAGAACTACCCCACGTCAGGCACGTCACTGACTCGGCATTCGCTTCCTATCCTGGCCATGAGATGCATGAAAGGAAGTTTTATTGGATGTTCTCTTTGATCTATTTCAGAATGTTTACATACTTGTTATTGGGCAGATTGTTGTGAGTTCTTGTAGAGAAGCCATGTAAACACTCATCTGAATGCAGGGCAGCAGGCTCGAGGTTTCTCGAATATAAACAGTTTGATTGTGAAATAGCTGTACACGATCAAACCAGCTTCGAATTGCAGATGATAAATCTGCCCGTGGTTTTAGCTAGTTCTGGTTTCGAGGAACTGTTGCCCTTGTGTTGACAGGTTGGCAGGATTGTTGCACTGCCTAGGTACTGTTCAAGTTCCTTACAACGATGATGTTCAGATATCTATCTGCGGTTTAGCTACCAATGTGAAGTAAAAAGAATCTTCTATTGAATAGTATATGTAGAGTTGATGACTGTAGTACATTCAATATGTTTCAATCCTTGCTGTTCAGTGGTTTATTTGGAGTTATTATGTTTGGGAGGAAAAAGACCACAAAGTTGGATACATATGTGACCGGCTCTAAAACCTCACATCCTTTAACGTTCAATTTATTTTAATTCTTTTTTTCATTTATCAAGTGCGTTCCGTTCTGCCATTCCTCAAGAATTATCAGAGCCAGCCGCTGGCAGGTGCGCCGCAGGTCCAGTTACCACGGCTGCCTTGAGCATCATGTGAATGCGCCTGAACAAGGAGCACCTATCAACTAAAACAAAACTTACAGCAATTAGTTTGTTTACTACTAATATTCTATCGAAAGCTTTCTTTATCTCTTCGTCTGTGCGACAAAATCAACTCTCAACATGACTATTATTTTCGAAGATCAACTCGATCGATTGGACAAACTGACAGGAGGAGAAATATCAGAGATCTCCAAAGCCCGCGCCGAAGTGCTTGAACCTGCCTTTGATTCATACCTCAAATCTGTCAACCTTCGCGAAAATGCACCTCCGCCATCTCTTTTGCAGCTCGTTGCGTCCTCCGACATCGCGGTCCAACTGTCGCGCTGCAAAAAGTCAGGGGCCGCGACCGACTTGGCCATCACCAGAAAGTCGGATGCACTTGACGACAACTTCATGGGCTACTGTGAAGAATATAAATGTGTGATATTCAAAGGCGAGGCGGGACTCCTTGACAATTTCTTAGACGTTGTCGAGTCAGCTGCCGCGAAGCTTGAAATCAACAACACAACAGCTGTCTTGAAGGCTCCTGATCAGATTCGCATTCCTTTTGGGGGTCTGGAATATGGACTCAAATATGAAGAGTTTGTCGATCGTGTTGAAGTGCTCCAGTGCGCTATGTGGATTAGAACTTCACCAAGTGGTATGTCATATCTCTCATCCCTAACCGACCGTTCATCCCGTACTGACTATCACTGAAGAACAAGAAAAGGGAGGTAAAAGCTTTGTCGAAATCGCCATAGATTCACGAACTCCCCCGCCCAGTACTCCTGAATATGTACCAGAGTCACCCGATGCTCTCATGGCATTCAAGGCCAGTCTCGAAGACCAAGATGTGCCTACCCGGAGCTTAAGTGACAGCGACAGTCCTTTGTCTTCCTGTGGATCATCTATATCTACACCTCCTCTTCTCGAAGATTCAGGTTCAGATTCTTCGCACGATTCGAGTGAACTATCTGACCCACCAGCGGTCATCTACACACCACCATGGCTTAGAAATATCGATGAATAGCCCATGTTGCCAGAAGATGTCATCTTATGGCACTCTTCGTTGAGACGAAAGAGCCGATACTCACCCCCAAAATGCTTTGTTTCGTGAACGGCTCAATCGGCGGTGTTATGGCAAGGGATATTACTTGTGGTTGGCAGTAAAACGAAATGGGATTGTACTTCCAGAATAAGGGCGTATATACTGATTAATCGAGCGGAATGAAATCCATGTCTTTCTATACAACCAAAGCTTAATAGGTAATGACGATCTAGTGGTATAATGTTTGAAAAGGCATCCTCAAGAAACTTCTTTGAGATTATGCAATCCAATAAAATGCAACATGTCACAATTTCCAATTCAGTAGTGATTGAGTATAAGCAATTAAGCTCTATGTTCATTCATATGTAAGTGTAAGTATCTAGTTAGATTATGTGGTGGTAAAATCATAGTCTAAACGCCATCCAATGCCAAGTATTAAACCCATAGTTCTAAGGAGAGGAAGAATCATAAAATGTCCGCTGTCCAAAACCCCCGTCCGTAATGCATCTCATAAAAAGTCGTAGAGTTGCGCCGTTTACTTCTTGAGGCCACAAGCGGAAGCGTCGGCGTGGTAGACCTGAGCGTTGATGCGGCCGAGCTGAGTGGCCTGGCCACCGGTGAGGGCGTTCATGGCATCAAGGCCAATGTTGAAGCCGGAGGCGGCGTGGTCGATGGCAAGGACGTTGATCTTGCGGCCCTTGAACTCGAGGCGGTAGCAGCCACCACAGTTGGGGGAGTTCCAGCCAGCAATGATGTTGACACCACCAACGTAGGGAGTGGGGATGTTGCCCTGGGTCTTCCAGCCGTACTTGGTGATGAGACCGTTGGAGCCGTCAGAGCAGGCGACGGAGGTCATGGGGCGAGACTTGTCATCGTAGCCAGTGTCGTAAGAGACTGAAGATAGTGTGTTAGTTGAGTGAAGGATGCATCAGAGAGTTCTGGATGAACTTACCAGTGGTGGCCGAGACGGCGGAGGTGAGAGCGAGAGCAGAGAGGATACCAGTGAACTTCATGTTGGCGGTTGTGGGTTTTGTGTGTAAGTTGAAGAGGTGAGTGGTGTTGGTGGTGGTGAGAGTTGTTTGAGAGATGAGAGTGGTTGATTGTTGATGTGAGTGATGATGAGAAGAAACGATATTTGGAGGAGATTCAAGAGTCTTCTTATACCTAACTTCTTTCATAGATCCTCCAAGCTTCGCATAGGAAAATGGACCATGCCATGCTATGCCATGCCATCATGCATCTGGCTAGCTACCTAGCTAAGCTACCCTGCCTTGTCCATCATCACGACACGAGCCTCGGACGATCGTCCATCTCCACATCCAAATCGAGAAAATGACCGGGAGGCTGGAGGCAGGACAAGCTTAGTTTCTGCTCCATACATCGTCATAGCTACCGTTGCAAGCTTAGTAGACTCTCTCTAGACAACTCTGTGTTTGCTGTCAGCTCAGCTTAGTGCCCGTATTCTGGCTGATACAGGACATGGCACAAAGAGGCTAGGGCTTGCCGATAGTCCGCAATGCTATTTTGGGGAGCGGATAGCAAAAGTCAACGGGATCCAGACTATGGTCCAGAATAACTGACTTGTTATTTCCCGTCCTACATTACAGGGGACCAGGGTTAGCCTGTGGCTTTCTGCCGGTCATGGCCCCCATTTTGAGGCATTGTGGGGTAACGTTAGGTAGCTTTTGGGGGAGAACCATCTCGTATTTCTGCTCGGCTTCCAAGCTAGTGTCGTCCCGTGAACAATTCGAGGTAACGTGCCTTTTGCTGGCTCTCGCATTCGCTATGTTGCTAGTAAATCGAATTTCCAGCACTATAGAAATCTATGGATTTATTCACGATATACGGAGTGTCCGTGAGGCTCCAACTACACGTTGACTTGAAGACACATTATTTCAATGCTGTGTCAATGCAATCGCTTGCAAACCAAAAACATCGTCGTTCGATCGTGATAGAGATCAGACTGTTGATCTGATGATCTCACCGCTCAACAGCGACATTTCCTATTCCCGTATGGTCGCGGTCTTTTGATCTCAATGTAAGGGTCCTGGTCCTGCCCGTTAAGCTTAGCTGGGGCGAGACCTCTCGTATTCCTCCTTGCGTTGTCAATGGATATGCTGCAATGTATCGTGGTAAAATTGGAGCCTCAACAGGAAATCATTGGCATCAACGAGAGCAACATGGCAGTGGTCTGAGCTTTTCACGTCGTATTTGTCCTATCCAGATCATGAACCATGAACAGCATGAATATACTACCTTGTAGATCAAAGGCCCGTCCTTGCTACTCTAACGGCAGCCTCGGATGATACAAAAATAAAAATGGCAGGTTTGTTGAATGTCTTGGCCTATCTTTGCGATCAGCAAAACTCCGCGAATGGGAGTTTTTTGCAACATGGATAATGCCCCATGGAGAACAAACGATACGAGAATTCACCAACGTCATGGTCTTGAATTGTCGACAAAAAAGACCTCACTGAAGTCCAAAAAGGCAAGGATCCAAGTGCCGGAAAGCCCGGCAATGTTTGATAGTATACGAGATGCAAGATCCCAAGAGACATAATGCTATCTTTGCTAAAAATGAAATTGAGTCCTACGTGGGAACCCGTTATGCACTATGAGCATTGACATCATGGTGGTGAGATGGAATTGGAGAATGTTGAGAGACATGGCCCATGCTCTTTTTTTAGGTGCTATTTTTGGGAGGTGGAGCTTCTGGAAGACTCTTGTTAGCTGTCGGCATAACCGGCTGGGGTAGCACGGCCTATTGTTTTTTCTCGTCCGTTGGAGAGACTACCGGTTCTACATAACTAAATCTTTTGAAATAGAATAGCAGCCAAGTATTGTTACATTGATACTGTTATACCAGGTTGAATATCAGGATAATTCCATAGACACAAGCGAGCTGATCTGCACTCGTAGCTCACACATGGGCTGAGCTCTGCAATGTCAATCAAGGATAGAGTGGTTCGGTTCGTATTAACCTATAATGATATCTGATATGCATGAACAGTCCCAGATAAGATTATAACACCGTTTTTAAGCCTTTCGACTATCATTACAAGGCTAATTCCTTGTTTAACTTATGCTCTCACTCTACTGGTCCGGCTCGGTTCATAGAGTCAGTCAAGCACTCATGGCAGCCTCACTCTTCTGTTATCGGCCCATACAGATAAATTATCTACCCCGCTGCAATTGCTCTGATCTGGTCTGGACTTGTTGAAGACGATATTTTACCCCGCCAACTGCGCTGCTCATATTAACGTACCATAGCAAATTTTCCACAACATGCGATACAAAGCCGAACGGTTTTTTTTTTTTTTGGTTTTTTTTTTGTTGCGCCTGCGACGGTGAGCTCCGTCATCGGCCTTCACTCGTCAGTATCAGTCAGTCACAGTAATAATCAAATTCCACTATCGGCTGATCCACGCCGTTTCAATTATTCAATTCTTTCTTGATGTGACTTTTTGTGATTCTTGAGTTCCTTCGTGAGAGCAGAAAAGTAACAAAACAATCTTCAAGTTCAAACTAGCCCCAATTTGCATCGCGCCATTGGACCCTCTCTTTGCATGTTGGGTGATTGTCTCAAAACTTTCATCTCCCTCTAGAACCGTACAGCTACAGATTCAGTTCCGAACTTCGGCAAATAAAAACAAAAACAGACAGACGCAGCCATGGAATCGTTCATCATCAAGACCCCCTGCTCCAGCGCAAACATTGGACCCGGCTTCGATGTCATCGGTCTGGCCCTCTCCGTCTACCTCGAGCTTCACGTCACCATCGACCGGTCAAAGACAAAATCCGAGCACCCGCTCAACTGCAAAATCACTTACGAGGGAGAGGGAGCGGATGAGATCGACCTCGACCCCCAGGTCAACCTCATTACCCGCGTCGCCCTCTACGTCTTGCGATGCAATGACCAGAGGTCGTTCCCCGTCGAGACCCATGTACACGTCAAGAACCCCATTCCTCTAGGCCGTGGTCTAGGTAGCTCTGGTGCTGCTGTCGTTGCTGGTGTTGCTCTGGGCAAGGAAGTCGGAGGTCTCAAGCACCTTGATAATGACCGGCTATTCGACTACTGTCTCATGATTGGTAAAGACCGTTCCCACCATAGAGTATCAATCACAAACTAACTTCAATTCCAGAGAGACATCCTGACAATGTCGGTGCTGCCCTCTACGGCGGCTTCGTCGGAACCTACCTCAAGCCCTTGACCCCCGAAGACGTTGCTCGTACAGAAATTCCTCTCAGCGAGGTTCTTCCCGCGCCAGCCGGAGGAGAGGACACCGGAAAGAAGCCCCCGAACCCTCCTCACGGAATCGGTCACCATATCAAGTTCCCTTGGGCCAAGGAGATCAAGGCTGTTGCCATCATCCCTGATTTTCAGGTTGCTACACATGCTGCGCGAGGAGTGCTACCCGCAAACTACACTCGCCCCGATGTGGTACGTCCAACATCTAAACCAACCTTCCAACCCAAAGCTAATTTGTGAACATAGGTCTTCAACTTGCAACGAATTGCCCTTTTGCCCGTCGCCCTTGGCCAGTCCCCTCCCGACCCCGAGCTTATCCACCTCGCCATGCAAGACAAGATCCACCAACCTTACCGACAGACCCTGATCCCCGGCCTTACCGAGATCGTCGAGACAATGTCCCCTAAGACCGATGATGGTTTCCTCGGCGTATGCCTTTCTGGCGCTGGTCCCACGATCTTGGCTCTGGCGACGCACAACTTCGAGGCCATCGCCGGCAAGATTATTGCCAAGCTACGGGAAAATAACGAGAAGAAGGATCTGCCCTGCCAGTGGCTGGTACTCGAGCCTGCCGAGGGCACTCATGTTGTTCGATCATAATATCCCTAGCTGTAAAAAAAGATATCATGGAGAAACGGGATAGAATTGTACATGGTCACATTTACTTGTAGATCGCAAATTCCTGTCTAGGTATAGATAACTTATGGGAGAAAACTGGGCATAGAGGGTCATATCTATAAACAAAGCCATCCAGAACGAAGAAACGAAAATAGCGCAATAAAATACAAATACCAATTCATCCATTGAATATTCTGTGAGAATGGAAACTGTTGAAGTTTGGTAACATTATCTCAAGTCTTTCCGATGTCGGAGTTCGTCGCTTATATGAATGAGAGATTATAACGAAGCGGTTATGGCTACATGCCAAGACAGCCTCATACACCATAATCAGGATCGGAATTTCTAAACAAATACTTAAAATAGTTTTATGATTATAGCATTTTCTAAAACAGATATCGTCGTTGTGGTAGTGGATTGGCGAAGGGAAAGCATAAATCATCGAACGTCTGTAGGGTAGATTTACCGAGAAAGTTATCTGAGGTCATCAAGGCCTACCGGCTGTCCTTAAACATATTCATAGGCTATCCGACAGCCTCAGTTTACCGATAACTGGTCGAGTACAAACGGAATTGTGTTGGTAATGAGGGGAAAGATCCCACTGGTTTCGGGTTGAGCTGCCATTTCCAAGTCTCATTGACGAACCGAACCGTCGGCTTTCTCCAATTGCGACATGCAGTGTCGCTTTGCACTATCCCGAAGACCGAGGTTTGGGTTGGAGAGTGTTTATAATACATGATGTGCACAGCAAACCCCTCACGCTTTTGTTGTTTCTCTTTATTCCTCATATTATTTGTGTGATTAAGATACTATCAACACCAAACATGTCTTCTCCTCCGCCAAAGGGCATCTACGTGCCCGTCCCCACGTTCTTCGCTTCCAAAAAGGCTGCCAACTACAACGCCATCGCCTCACCTGTCGATGTCGAGACACAGGTTGCTCACGCTGTTTACCTGGCCAAGAATGGTATCAAGGGTGTTGTTATTCTCGGTACCACAGGCGAAGCTGTGCATATTCATCCCAGGGATCGCCATGCTATCCTCAGTGGTGTCAAGGCCGGTTTGGAGAAGGAGGGCTTCAAGGACTACCCTATTGTTGCAGGCACAGCTATGAATAGTGTCGAGGAGACTGTCGAGCAACTCAAGGATGCTCAAAAGTCTGGTGCTCAATGGGGTCTGACTCTTGTACCTGGATACAATGCTGCTGCGGTTACACAGGAGGGTCTCGTCCAGTGGTTCACTGCCGTAGCTGACCAAAGTCCCATTCCTATCATGATGTAAGTCGTCATGTGAGTAGCACTAAAACCACAAACTGACTGTCGTTTAGTTACCACTACCCCGGAGTATCCAACAATGTCAAGATCGCCGTATCTACCTATGTTACACTCGCCAAGCACCCCAACATCGTGGGATGCAAGCTGTCCCATGGCGACGTCTCAGTAGCCACACAAATTGCCTCCAACCCATCCATCGACCACAGCCACTTCCACGCTTACACAGGTCTCGGCCAGCAATTGCTTCCCGTTGTCTCGGTAGGGTTTGCAGGTGCCATTGATGGCTCAGCTGGCTTCTTCCCCAAGTCTCTGGTGCGGCTATACGAGTTGTCCACAAAGACACAGCCCACAGATGCCGAGATCCAAGAGCGAAGGGTTCTGCAGTTCAAGGTGAGCTCAATGGAGGAGTTGGTGGTCAAGTTTGGTACTGTAGGTATCAAGGAAGCTATTAGCAGGCTTAGAGGCTTTGGAGATAGTGATGGAACGAGATTGCCGCTTGTGGGAGGCATTCCAGGTGGTGATGCCGAATGGGCTAACTGGAAGGAAGTAATTGAAGCTGTGGATGAGGTTGAGAAGTCTCTATAAGCATATCAGAAAGATGAATATAGAAGGAATCATGAACATCATTACCGTGAAGAGTGTTCACCTATGTCGATGATGTTGGGCTACAGAATGAACAATAGTGACACCACTTTCAATAAGAACCGGGCGAATGGTTTAGTGGTATAATACTCCCTTAGCATAATTCGACCGAATAATCTGGGAGTGGTCCAGGGTTCGATTCCCTGTTCGTCCATTGCAGGTGGTTAAATTCCACCATTAATCCTCTTTTTGCACCATAACACAATTACTAGCTGCGTGTATCACAAGTAGATATCAATTTTTTTTTTGGTTCAACTACAATCAGCTATATTTTTTTTTTGGCATATGACGCGCTTACGTGTGATGATCGCTAGAGAGAGTGAGATTGCAAGTCTTACAATATCACTGTTTGTTAGCAGTTTGGGTATAGACTGCAATTTAGCCAGTACAGGGGCCGTTTTGCGGGATTATGGGACGGATAGACATCTCAACTCTCATTTCGTCTCTTCATGTTTGTCTCTACTCTATTCCTCATGAACAAATCGACGTTTGATAATTAATGCTTGTTTAATTGAGTACATTCAACTTCCCCAACGTTGTTATCACTCGGCCGAGTCCCCACCAAAACTCCGTGCCTCGGTTCCTTTTGATAGCTCACTCAATTTAGTGGCATTGATTGAGTGAATGCGAAATTATATTGAATTTTTTTACTTCGTACCCAAGAGCGAATCAACGGCATCTTCGGCGACTAAGAAGCTCTTGTAAGAGTAGCTGACCGATATTCTGTCGCGGGATCTTGCGCGTCTTTTTGGATCTGGGCGTTGCATAGACACATGCAGCAAAAGACCGCCTTTTCACCCCTTACCCCTGCTTATCGTCCTCCAACACTTTAGTCGCAAAACACCAACAATCAACCATCATGGCTGGCGCCGCGAAGAAAATGTTCGGCCTCTCGCAAGTAGTGCCTATTGTTATGCCTCTTATCGCAGGCTCGGCTGGATATGCTGCCTACCGAGTCAACTGGGGTCCTCTAATTAGGGAATTCCTTACAGGGCCTGGCCGGACATCGCGGATCCTGCTGTTGTTCTTTATCGTGTTTAACTGGAAGAGCATGCCCTTTGCTTGGACTGTGAGCCTTGATCTATTCTCCGGTACTTAGCGACTCTACTAACAATATTGTAGTACCGCGTATTTTACACCATCTTCCTCCACGGCTACTGGCGCAAATCGCCAACCCTCGGCCCCGACGCTCTTTTCAAGCCCATGATTTCCACCACGCACGCGCCCATTCTCGAGATAGACTACAATTTGCACAAATCAAATTCGACATACTTTGCAGACCTCGATGTCTCGCGATCGCATCTCGTCACCTACCTCTGCCGCGCTTCTTACATGACCCTCGCCAATAACGCAAAGACCAAGCTTGTTCTGGACCCAAAGACCGATAAGCCAATCAAGGGAAATGTGAGCATCATCCTGGGCTCTGTCGCTTGTAGTTTCAAGCGCGAGATCCCCGCCTTTAAGAACTTTGAGATGTGGAGTCGCATTCTGTGCTGGGATCGCAAGTGGCTGTACATCGTTACGCATTACATTCCCAAGGGAGCTGCCAAACCCACATCATGGCTCGACCCTACGTTCAAAGACGCTTCTGCCCGAGGTCCTGAAGATGCTTCCAGTGGATGGCATAGGAGGATCTATGCGACCGCCATCAGCAAGTATGTCTTCAAGCTGGGACGCTTCACTGTGAACCCGGCTATTTTGTTGGGTGGCGCTTCTGGACTTCTACCCGAGCGTCCCGGCGGCTGGACTACTGGACCGGAGCAGCTTGGTGATATGTCTGTCGACCTTTCGGATATCGACCTGGATGAACCAGGAGAATGGGACTGGCGACGTGTCGAGGCGCAGCGACGTAGGGGTGTGGAGTATGCAAAGCACTTCCAAGAGCTTGACACGCTACATGATCTGTTTGATGGAGGTAATGAAGGTGCTCTGGGCAAGTTTGCCCCTTAGACGCCGTCGGATTAGGGCCGAAACGGGAGATGAAAGCTAGAAAAAAGGTTTATAGATGATCTGGATTAATGATTTGTCCATAGTTAGAGTTACATATGAACGCTTTGTGAGTTTACGTCACAGGAGCTTACAAAGGTCAACCGCCTTAAGAAGAAAGAAGATAACATGATAATGAGACTTGCGAACGTTTGTTATAGCGATCCAGCTTAGACATGGCAGAAAAGTAGTGAACCCGCAGCCTTATCTGAGCCACTCTGTTATTTGAGATCAGTTATTTGACGGTACATCTCTGCTGAGCTTGCTTCGCCGCTGAAATAGAATTTGAATGCGTGAAACTAGGTAGTACTTACAAAGTAAGTGCCGCCCAAGGTTCCCGTTTAGAGTCACGGGGAAGGAGAATGACCATGTTCCTAGTTTCTAGCATAACTTAATCCCCCCTAGTATACTTCGAGTATTCAACCGCAAGACTAACCTATCAGCGTGGACTAAAAACTGGATAGTACAATAACTGACTTGTCTAACTTGGAACTTGGTGTCTTGTTGAATGTGAGTGGCCAGCTTATTGTGGTTGACCGTTGAAGGAGGCAGAAATAGCTGTCACCTACCTATGTAGGTAGCTACTATCTCCTATTGTTTGATATATGTTTTCTTGCTTTCTGCCAGGTCCAAACCTTCTTGTTCCACTTAGTATCCTTAACTATAACATTGACTCACCCCAAGGCATGAATCACAACCAGAAAGCTATTTTATGATAGGTAACTAACTTTTCTGACCAAAATGCATATATAATACTCGACTGTATACACAAAAGCTGTTTCTTCTTTCTATCTTTCTTCCTTCTTTATACCTTAACCGCAACAATCTTGTCAAGACCTTACTCGAACCAATCTTCTCAGACATCAAGTCCAAAAAAGACCACAACAACCTCAAACACAAACCACAATGGAGCAACAACATTCAGAAGGACCCCAAGTCCAAGCCCCTGACATCGGCGGTTTGAACATGTCTGCAGACAACACCTCGTCCAGAGGTATGAAGCTCAGCAATTCAGCTCGAATATGACTAATGATAGAAGTAGCCGTGGAGAAATTTCTCAAAGACCTTGATGAGTGCCAAATAATGGCCAATACGATCAAGGTATACCTTCCTGATAATATGCACTATCTGTCAGAGTGTTCCCTAACTCTTTATGCAGGATTACACGTCAAGCGTTGTCGACAACGTGGTAGGCCTTTTGGATCCTATTAATGGCGGAGCAGGCAAAATCCGTAAGCTCCGTGATGAGATGGTATCTCTGGAAAGCGAGGGCAAAGCCTCGCAGAAGCTTCAAAAGTAGATGGAGATGCTTGAGCGTGCGATTGCCATGAGAAGTGAGATGGAAAAGACGTACCAGACGCTTTGCGACGTCAAACAAGATATGCAGTACACGAGAATACTACTCAAAGCAACGTCCATTTCCTCAAAGAATACTCTGACCCGTTGATCCAGCGTACATGGCTGAGGTATCTAGACTTTAGCTCGACTAGGTCTCTCTTCATATGTTGATCTTATACAGATTCACCAGGGCGACTGAGATGAGAGACCTTCAGGATAACCGAGAGCTGAAGACCGGAAGTGGCCATAAGGGAGACCTACAGGCTTGAATATAGAGGTAAAGAATACAATATATCCTACCCAAAATGAAGGATGAGCCTCGAGTAGCCAACTTTAGTAATATCCGGAGAACTGTTCATAAAACAAGCGTGAGGTGCCTTGATCAGATCGACAGAAAACGTCCAAATACCGGCAACGGAAGACCGATCATGCCTAGTAGTTGATTTGCGGAGTAAAACGATAGAAAGCCTCGGGCCAAGCCAAGATCCTTGTTGAACAAAATGCTGAGAGGACATGGTTGGTCGTTGAAAGGAAGTGTCACCAACTTTGCATGACAAACATGGTCCAACATTCCGTCCAAATCACTTTATTTCCGCGATTCATCGGAATTACTTCCGTTATACCTACCTAAAATGGGCGGAACATGGGTCGAGTTGGAGGTGTGACCCCACAAGAGACTACCCATGGGCATGTAGTTGATGGCTTGTGATTGATGCTTCCTTTAAGCCCGGTCAAAGGAATACCCTGGTATGCAACACAGTCCATATACCCAACAATGATGCCCCAGCTATTCCTAAATTCAACATATCCAGAACGTTCCCCCCTCTCCTCCTCTGATAACCCAGCATGGAGGCTTCAGGCGCAGACAGGGGCTTCTTCCAGAAACCGCCCGTTCTGAATAATCAGTTCTACGACGATGTGGCGTTCCAGAGATGCTTCAAGCGTAGGTTCACGCTAATACCAATCTTGTCAACTATCATGTGCTGACTTGATCAGTGTTCCTTCCAAAACACATCATCCGCCAAGTTGAAGCTGAAGTGGCTGCTCTTGGAGATGATGTCCTCTCCGACGAGGTCTTTACTTGGATAACAGATGCCGAGCGAAACAAGCCATATCTCACGGGGTCAGGCCGCGATGTATTCGGTCAGTGGAAAGGCGACCTAGTCACTGGTGAGGGATGGCGTGGCCTTCAGAACTTCGGTCTGTCTCGAGGGTAAGAGCCGAAATCTTCACATCAAGTCATTATCACTAACTTATCTCAGCTTCGTCGCAGCCGGATATGATACTGAACACGGCCCATTCGCACGAGCGTACCAATTCTTGCGTATACAACTTTGGACGCCGTCATGTGCTAATGTTGGCTGTCCTTCTGCTATGCAAGACGGTGCTGCTCGACTTTTGCAGACACACCTAAAAAGCCCCGAGCTCTCAAAGTATTTAACGGATACACAGAGAAGAGTTTTTGAGAATGCATTCCAACATCTAATTTCGAGAGATTCTTCCTATGCCTGGACGAGCGGGCAGTGGATGACAGAAAGAACAGGGGGCAGTGATGTATCACTAACCGAAACCACAGCAATAACTGCCTCTGATATTGGACTGGCCTCAAAGATTGAGGATATTCCCCTAGGACCCTGGAGTATTAGCGGCTTCAAGTGGTTCTCCTCAGCGACCGACTCAAGAATGACTGTCCTTCTGGCCCGTACATCCAAAGGTGGACTCTCAACTTTCATCGCGCCAATGTACAAGCATGATCCCCATGCCACTACAGTCACAGGACTATCAAAAGAAAATGGAGAGAAACTAAATGGTGTGCGCATTCAACGACTCAAGAATAAATCGGGCACGCAATCCCTTCCTACCGCCGAACTCGTTCTTGAAGACATGCGGGCCTGGCTTGTAGGCCAGGAGGGCCGTGGCATTCAAGAGATTGCAAACGTCTTGACACTGACTCGAGTTCATTCTTCAATCGCGGCTGTTGGATACCTAGGAAGGGGACTGGCCATCGCGAGGGCTTATGCTCAGGTGCGAGAAGTGGGTGCAGGAAGGGGTACTCGGATGAAGCTTACAGAAAGCTCGTTGCACATGAGAACTATGTCAAAGACATCTTGCGAGTACAGGGGACTCATGCTTCTTTCCATGTTCACATCTTATGTTCTTGGCGTCTCTGAACATGGCGTTTCCTCGACTTCAAGTCTATCATCAGCACTAGAGACACTTACACCGTCGAAACAGCATGCTGCACCGCTGGTACGAGTTCTCACACAACTCACCAAAGCCTATGTCTGCAAAGCATCCGTTCAACTGCTCTTCTCATGTATGGAATCGCTTGGTGGTGTCGGATACCTCGCCAACGAAGAACAAGAATATCTCAATATCGCCCGCCTGCACCGCGACTGCACCGTGCTGCCCATCTGGGAGGGCACGACAGATGTTCTAAGCACCGATTTTCTACGTGCATTAAAGCATCCCAAGGGCGGTCAAGAGGCCCTCGACGCTCTTGAAGATTCCGTGAGGAGAGGTATTGCTTTTCAAGGAAGGATTTCTCGACCTCAAGGCTGGGGCCCATTGGAAGCTTGGAAGACATTGAGGCAACGTCTTGAAAGTGAGTCCCTGACAGATTTGATGGGCGACGCCAGGGAAATCCTCTGGGGCGTTGCAGACATACTGGTATCTATCCTGCTTTTCGTCGATGCGGGCAGTGATGGTGACCAGATTGCACTGGATATCTTTTTACGCTTCCTAGAGGCAAAGAACGTTATTACGACGCGACAAAAGGTGTCGGCTAAGGAGCAGCTTATGAGGGATATTGGGGTTGTGTATGGGAGTGCTGAGAGTGACATGTCACCCAAGCTTTGACATCCTCACCACGGCTGATCCCAGCAAGACCCACGAACGTACATACATGTATGCATGCGCACAAGCAGTTCACGGCGATCGCAAACACGGGCATTACAACAGTCCGAGCTTCTGTACTTGAATTTATCTATTAAGAATACACTGCTAAAGTAGGACTTGCTAGTCGAGAATTGAAATACCAAAATACAGAAAAGCTCAGTCAATTAGTCCATCTTTTCGCCAACTCAAAGGTTCTTGCATGCCCCCTTCAAATTCTTCACCTTCAGCGTGGTCTTCTTGCACGTCGAAGCACCATCATGCTTATCGCCAAAGAGCACCGTTCCCTTTGAACTTGTTGAAGTCTTGGAGCATGAGTTGAAAGCGGTTGCACCGTCACGATGAAGGACAGTATTGCTGCCGCTCTTCTTCAATGTCCAAGACTCGAAGCCGGGTGTTGGGTCGATGCATTTGACCTCGCCGCTGGGGTTCAGGAAACAGGCATTGAAAGCGCGGTCTCGCAGAATGTTTTGCGAATTGGACAGGTCAATGCAGAAGAAGCCGTTGGTGGCGCCAGCGTTGAGAAGCAAGTTTCCATTGCTGTTTTCTTGCACTGCAGCACCGCTGGCTACGTCATGTAGTGTGAAGCAGCAGTGGCCGTCAAAGACAGTATCTCGAGGGATAACTGCAGCGGTGGCAAGAGTGCAGAGGAGTGTGATCACAGAGAAAGACTTCATCTTGAAGTGATTGAATAGTGCAGTATGATGTATACTGTGGGTATTGGGTATCTTGAGTGATTAAATAGAGTAAAAGGCTTGGAGTGATGCGATTGAGGCCAGCTCAAAGTGTTCAAAGATGGTCGTGGAGGATCTGATTGATATCAATGACTGCGACAAAGGATATAACCTACCTTTTATAATGGCCCAGGACATCAATTCACTCGCTGATCAAGGTGAGACTACTCGCGATCAGCACAAATAAGCCCATTCACAGGCATCCAACCGAAGCGTGTGAATGCATGTTGGACCCGAAGGATTAAGTCACGATATCAAGCCCCAAAGTAAGCGGGGGAGAGTAACATTTGTTATGAGTGAAAAAATGAAGAGTCGGTCTCGAGTTTTCTCAAAGCTGTGATGGGTCGTGCAGTGTGATTCCAAGTGATGGACGTGACGATTGCCATTGGGAGTCGCGAGGTTTCGCGCTATAGGGCGAGGATAGCTAGGGCCCTTCTAGGGGGATTTGCGGGAGCGAATAGCCTCTCAGGAACAGCCGCGAGCTAGTTAGCAGAGTGACATCCAATAATGCAGTTGGTTGTGATTGCCGTTCATGCTATGGGCTTGATGCTGCAAGGCACAGTCACATGTAGGTGACAGACCAGGGTATCCTTTCTCTGTGTCGTACACCGCAGAATTGGGAGCAGAAAAGGGCGAGGATATAGCTTCATTGAATAAAGCCACTGGTTAGAATGCGAGCATGTTTAGGGTAAGAGATTGGCCAACAATCAAATGTGATGATAGTGCATGATTCTCAAGTACCCAACGAGGGGTTGAGGAAGGGTCCATCACTTTGGTGCAGCACCCAACTGATCACGTGAGACGGAGTACGTCGGTTATCGGCGAAGACCTCCAGCTCGAGTCACCGTTTGTTACGTTTACCTCGAAGCGCAACCGTTTTGCTTACTCTCACACTTAGGCACTCTCTACCCGTCTCTACCGCTACATTCCGTCACTCTAGATATGATGTATTCTTTTTGATCCTTCTTTTTCTTGACAATATTACTACATGTCAATTATCTGACGTGTGATACTCATATTGGCCTAGAATCTACGTTAGTACTTTTCATGCTGTCATAAGCAGTCTTATCTGACTTGAACAATTCTCTAGGCCCTCACTCTAGCTCCCCCTACGTTTTCCCCCGACCTGCCTATTCAGACTACTGTATATCCACCGTTTTTTAAACATCCTACTCACAAGACCAACACTTCACCATCAGTTTTGACTCTGCTTTGCCATCATTTTCTTCTAAAAGTTCAGCAAAGCAAACATGGCTGATGAACATACCATGTCCAACGAGGAGTGGGAGGAGGTGTCTCAGGACATCCCGTCTCTCTCCGACCCTTTCCTGCAGCAGTATCTCACAGGCCGGGCAAACCTCATAACCCAAGAAAAAAAGTCTCGCTCCGATGCTTCTTTCAAGGCTTCTCTTTCGCCTATTGCCAAGCGCGCCAGTGACATTGTCGAACGCATTCGTGATCAAGAGAAAGACACCGTCTGGACCCCTCAAGTCGAGGAGGACCTCGCCCAGGCTGGAAATGAGTGCATCTTCCCAGGAATGATGTTCATGCTCGCAAAGGACCGAATGGAAAAGACCAATCTCTGGAAGATTGTTCGTCGTATGCCAAAGGGTGCTCTGCTGCACGCCCACATGGATGCTATGGTCAACTTTGATTTCCTCTTTGATCAGCTTCTCAAAATGCCAGGCATGCACATAAGCAGTGACCTGCCCCTCAACACCTATGAGTCCAGAGAAGAGGCTACTCCCAACTTTCGATACAGAAAGCAGGCTGACGCCGAGGTCTCCATTTGGGATGAGAGCTACAAGGCTGGTACCTTTGTGCCATTGACAAAGGCGGCCGATGAGTTCCCTCATGGCGGAAGAACAGGTTTCTTCAAGTGGCTCAAGGGAAGATGTACCCTCTCCGTCACTGACAGCCACGAGCAACACCACGGCATCGATGCAATCTGGGTCAAGTTCGCAAAGTGTTTCATGGTTTGCGCCACCATCATTCACTACGAACCCATGCTCCGAGTCTTCCTTCGTGAACTCATGAAGAACCTCAAAGATGATGGTGTGAACTGGGCCGAGCTTCGGTAAGTGACGAACCATATGATTCCAAACATCCTCTGACAATAATAGCATGACGTGGTCACTTAACTACTGCCGCGACCAGCAAGAAGAGCCTGAGAAGGACTATAACCACCTGTTTGAGGTCATTCGCGAGGAAATCGACAACTTCAAGAAGTCGCCCGAAGGAGAGGGTTTCTGGGGTCTCACTACCATCTGGACATCTCTACGCAGCTGGCCAACTCGTATGATTGTCGAGAACATGGACTTTTGCATCGCCACCAAGATGAGCTTTCCCGATCTCATTGCGGGATACGATCTCGTGGGCCCTGAAGACTTGGGTCGGCCCCTATCCGATCTTCTCCCCGAGCTGTTTTGGTTCCGCAAGCAGTGCTCTGAGGAGGGCGTTAACATTCCTTTCTTTTTCCACGCCGGAGAGACCCTCGGCGACGGCACAGACACCGATTCCAACATATTTGATGCAATCCTGCTAGGAACTCGACGCATAGGTCACGGATTCAGTCTCTTCAAGCACCCTCTCCTCATCGATATGGTCAAGGAGAAGCGCATCCTCATTGAGTCCTGCCCCATCTCCAACGAAGTCCTCCGTCTCTGTGGCTCTGTAACAGCCCATCCCCTGCCAGCCCTTCTGGCTCGTGGTGTTGCTTGCAGTCTGTGTAACGATGATCCCGCTATGCTTGGGCAAGACACAGCCGGCATGTCGCACGACTTCTTCCAGGCCGTCCAAGGATGGAAGAACCTTGGTCTCGCAGGCCTCGGCAGTCTCGCCGAAAACAGTGTCAGATGGGCTGCCTTTGAGGATCAGAGCCAGGCCGATTGGATTGAGGGCATCAAGCAAGCCAGCCTGGGCAGCACTCTCAAGGCCAAGCGTATGCAGCAGTGGCAGATTGAGTGGGAGAAGTTTTGTCTCTGGATTGTCGAGGAGTTTGGAGACGACTTCGGTGATGAGGCAAATAAAGATGCCGAGTCAAAGGGAAAGGCCAACGATGCCTAGAGACATGATTATTTACAACAAGACGATAGACTGAGATTTCGGAAAAGGTGAAGGGGTGCATAAAGGCGTTGCATACTGAGATTTGAGGCATGTTCAACACGGACGGGTTAAAAGGATTCAACCACTCACTGTCTTTGCGATTTTAGAAAAGTGCCTGTTTCATAAGGCCACTAGATTAGAGATCACTTTGTACTTAATTTTCCCTAAAGGACAAGAACTTTGGTGCTAAGGAAGATAAATCTAGAAAGGATTTGAGAAACCATAGTTCTTCTTATTGAAGATGACTGATTCGTTGATTTATCCTACAGCAACACCTCTAGTGTTTGTATATGTAACCGCCAACCATGGCCATTGATCGATAAAGCCACAAAGCCAAACACAAATTCACTATGCAGTGTGACCGAGCATTTAAAAAGAATGGAGTGGATTTTGTTTCTAAGAATACATATGAACAAAAAAGAAATATCGCGACATGACCCGCATCTGTTGCCTTGTTGTTGCCAGCACCAACTCGTGTGAATCCAGCACAGCCGCACAAATACAAATGAAAGTACACAGCCCATCTAAGATATAATGAAAGTCCGGTAAAAGAAAAAGACTAACGCGTATTCTGGGCCGAAAAAGAAATGGGAAAATGAAAAGAAGGTCTATCTAAGTCCTGTTTACTCTTAAAAGTTGGCACTCAACCACTGGCGAAAACTTTGGGGCTGAACATTGACTCGCGAACTTGCATTGACAAGATCGTTTAGAGATGCCTGACTAAAATCATATCTTCCTTCGACAGTCGCCTGGAGCTGTCGATAGAATAGGTATTTTGCATAATCGCCCTCCTGGTAAGACGAAGTAGCAAGTCGATCAGGATCTGCGGCCTGCCACTGGGAAAGCTGAAAAGGGGCTGACGAGTTAGCTTAGGATATACCATGAGTAGTTTGCTGGGATTACCATTCAAAGCCCTCGAGCATTGTCCAACGACATCGCGAACCGACAATCGGTCTCCTCGCATGGACAATTCTCGAGGCCAGCTCGCCGGCCCCAGGACAATAGCTGCGACCACGAACTGAGCCACGTCGTAGACAGATGTCATGCATACTCTAACTGTATGTCCTCGGGCGTTTTTCTCTACGCACTCGGCAGTGTACGCGCTTGTGTTAACTAGGTAAGATCCAGCCATGGCCAACTCGGAACGGTAGCCAATAAACATACTTCCGAGTCCGCCGGGAAGAAATCTCTCCATGAAGATACCGCAGGAGAATACGGTCCACTTCATCTGGGATGACCTTGCCCAGCGTCTCAAAAGTTGTCTCGCTTCGGTCGAGTAGGAATAGGGGTAGAGTTGATCATTGTCGGGACGTTTGTCAATCGAGCCTTCGAATTCGGAAGGGACAAAGAACTGCACGCCATTCTGGGCGGCTGCGTTGATTAGGTTGAGTTGTTCATTCCCCGAGAATGTGCATATAACAAGATTCACTCCTTGAAGTGCGAATGAGAGGTCATCTTCATTATCGTAGTCTACAGCTGTGACTTGAACATCAAGTCCTGCATACTCAGGGTGTTCCTATTCAGTTAGAAAGATTGGGTCTCCAAGGACAGTACTTACAGAACGTGATAGAACGACAACTTGATAAGCGTAGGCTGCTTGGGAAAGTTGGCTCGCCAGGAGGTACCCAAGACCAGTACCTCCGGCAATAGCTATGCGCATCATACTGTTGGATTTGGCTGGAAGAATAGAATTTGACAAGGAGATACTTTTGGTACACGAAATGATTGTGCGGAGAATGCTTTGAGACAGTGAATAGCAAGTGATAGTTGAGGTCTAGATCGAAGAACTTGACGGCTCCTTAATATCTCTTCAGCAACTGGAACGTAGTATCCCTAGAACGTGCGCAGAGCCGCAAATCTTGGACAAACAACCCGTGTTTGGTATGCTTGGAGTCTGCCGTCAAGTCTAGCCAACCTCAAACTTTGCTCATCGGTGAGGCCTCAGTCACAGGCAGGAAACTCCGGTGAGAATCTCAGGCTAAGAGCCGTAAGTGGCTCTTGATAAATTGCCGTGAAGTTGTTGATTAGCGAATGCATGCACGTAGTCTCACACATGATACTTACGGACCGGTCCCATTGTTGTCTCGAATCTCCTATTCATCGCAAAGGTGGAATGTAGTGGAGTTTCTTCTTCAGGTAACAGACCCGGCTTAGTGTTCAAGCACCATGTGAAGCCAAGGATTCCGTGAAAAGGGATGCCTAACAAGGTCAGGGGACAAGGGGTGTGATCAGTGACTCGATATAACATGAACTCTCGCGTCTCAGATTGGCTAGCTGGAGCTATAGCAACGGGATATCTAGGACCTCTCAAAGTTTGTTTGGTCGAAGCTCACGACGCACAAAGGCAGTGCAAAATCACGAACTGGTTCTGATCACATGCAAGTGTGTTGAGACGCCTTAAGATGTCCTCGAAAGGAACAAATCCGTATGGTAGTTGCGGTAAGGCTGTGCTTTTAATTCCGGTGAATATGAACGACTAGTTCGTGAGGAAACTCGATGCATAACCATGGAATTCTCAACAACAACAAAGTGATGTGTCGTTCAAGAACCAACCACCTGACTCTGATTCCGACTGTTATCCTTGTTCTCGAATTTTACGCCACAGTTGTGATGCATAACTCGGCGTCAGGCATCCATCATGGCATCAATATAGTGAACTAAGTCTTGAGCTGCTTCATATTAGATGAAGGTACTCAAGTATGAGACATTTATTACGGGCCTACTAAGCATGCACCAATACACATAATGCATCGTGAACTCAAATGAGACGTAGATTCATAGGTGTATAGATGCGAACAGGAAGCCCAACAGCTCAACCTTGAACTGCATTGCATCGGACAAGCCGTCATTGGCTTTTCAAGACGCACAATTCCAGGCTCCCCTGTTCCCGGGCAAGGCAGAAGAGACTGTAGCCTGAATTTGGAAAGGTATTCGAACGAGGCTCTCAATCATTGGGAGGCGATTGTAGAATTGTAGATCACCTACACAAAGGGTCCAGCATGGTGGTTGGGGGCCAAAAGCCCTGGCCCATCAGTGGTTAAGCTAATGCAGCAACCCATGCTTGAGCTCCGTAGGGCTGACTGGGACTTATATGAGTGGCGAGCAATTGGGCATATCCATTGGTTGGCTGCTTGAGTATCGATTCGGGAGGTAAACGATTCTTGTTCCAACGTCTTTTTGACATCGATGTGGCGTATTGACTTGCATATGGCACAGCACGGCCAGAGAAGACTGGCACATGACTTCCTTTGCAGTGAAAGAACAGCGGCGATCAGGGGAAAGTTTGATCGGAATTGGCCGCCAATTATTCAGATTGCCGGGATCATTCAAGGTAGTGATCAGCAGTTGATATCAGTATTGGTGTTGGTGTTGAAGATCAAGTTGTAAGTTGATAAGTAACGTTTGACCAGAATTTTCAAGCACCTCCCTATAGAGGGAGCCAACTCCTTCCTCTTTGCACCCTCATGGATAGGTTTCGATGCCCCTTCTGCGGGGTTTTTCTTCTTTCCTTCCCAACATGGGCATTGTCTCTCATCGAAATGTTCTAGGCCGAACCCTTCCTCCCTTACTTATTTCAATCATTGAACAGGGGGGAACTTCCAAGACGGGTCTGACTTCCTCAAGCGTAACTAAACTATAGCAACTTCCTATAGCTTGTTTTGGATAAGCTCAAACTAAATCATGACAGGCATCAAAGAGTACCTAAACAATAAGGCTTCACGTTAGGATCAGCAGAAATGTACTTTACCTGCTGTCATTGTTTCAGAGTGACACAACCATAGTCGAAATTCACGCTCATGTCTCGATAATGTTTAGACCTGAGTTTATAGGGCTGGCGCTAAATCAGACACATTCTAGGCTTCCATGTCCCACAAAATAACACCAATACCAGGCCTTTGAAAGTGGCTTTGTTCAGTATTCATGAGTCTCAAATTACTGTAAGGGGTTTGAAGAAGAGCCAAAGATACTAAGTCAATCTTAGATAAACTCATCACTTAGTCTTGTAAATAATCCCATCACCTTGTCTAAGCCTGAAGCGCAGTTTCATCCCTCGCACTACCACTTCCCTTCCTCCACGCTTCAGTATGATCGACCTTCTTTTTGGCTACACTCTCGGCTCCCTCGGCTCCCCACGCACCTCCTCCAGGTGTGCAGATGATGATGCGATCTCCAGCCTTCATCGCAGCCGTGTTCTTGGCTCCCATGTTGACATGTCTCTCCTCATACTCTACCTCGCCCGCGTCATCCCTGGTGTGAAACTGCTTCAGGGATGCCTCCCAGTTTGCCTTTTCAACCTTTCGGACCCAAAGGTTGAGACCACATTCTCCGTCACCTCCGCCGTTCAAGCCATAGGGACGATAGACGCGACGCTCGCTGAGGATGGATACTTGAAGAGGAATGCGAAACTCGATGTCGCGGATGACACCATCACCGCCGCGGTGCTGACCTTGTCCTCCTGATCCAGAGCGGATAGAAAATTCGCGGAGGAGAACAGGGTATCGTCTTTCGAATATTTCTGAGTCTGTGATGCGAGTGTTTGTCATGTGGCAGTGAACACCGCTTGTACCCTCCCAGTCAGAACCCGCACCGCTCCCACCAGCGATGGTCTCATAATAGCCAAATCCCTTGACCGCTTCAGCTCCATCTTGGTTGCCGCCAAATCCAAAGGTCAAGTTATTGCAGCAGCCTTGGCTGGCAGCGCAGGCTTGGAATGCCTTGAAAATGACGTCCGTGATGCGCTGACTGGTGAGGACGTTTCCTCCGACAACAGCCGCGCCAGGTGAGGGTGATAAGATAGACTTGGGAGGGATCTTGACGTGAATTGGCTTCAGGCATCCCTGATTCAGAGGAATATCTTCTGAGATAAGACATCGCAGGCAGTAGATGATAGCACTAAACGTGATAGCTTGTGGTGCGTTGATGTTACCGTAAACCTCGGGGCCAGTGCCAGAGAAATCGAATTCGGCCTCTCCCTTTTCAGCATCGATCCGAATTTTTAGGCGTATAGGGGAACCATCATCCATAAAGTCGACTGCGGACAGATCCTTGCCTTCGAATCGTTTGTAGACGTCCTTGAGTAGTCGACGCACGCATTGCTCAGCATTGTTTTGGATATGGACCATGTAAAACTGCACCGTCTCTTCGCCATACTCAGCAATCAGGGTCTCGATCAACGAGATTCCCTTCTGGTTGGCTGATACCTGTGCTCTCAAGTCATTAATGTTGTCAGCCAAACAGCGTGTTCCGCTGCAGCCAGGATATTTGGCAGGTTCTTCATAGAATAGCTCCACCACTCGCTTCTCGTTGAACTTGCCACCGCTCACAAGCTTTTCGCTTCTGATAGAAGCACCTTCTTGGTATAGCTCTCGCGAGTGAGGAGGCATACTGCCTGCGCTGATGCCACCAATATCAGCATGATGAGCTCGCGACGCGGCGTAAAAGAGAATGTTCTCCCCCTTCTCGTCAAAAGCCGGCATCAAAAGGGTCACATCGGGAAGATGAGTTCCACCGTATGAAGGATGGTTAGAGATAATGACGTCGCCCTTTTCCAACTTTCCTTTCCAAATCTCAGCCTGGCGCCGCACGCATGTGGACATCGACCCAAGATGTACGGGAAGATGGGGAGCATTGGCCACAAGACCGCCTGTTGCGTCAAAGATAGCACAGGAGAAGTCGAGTCTCTCCTTGACATTTGTGCTGACACTGGTCTTTTGTAGGGCACGTCCCATCTGCTCAGCAATGGCCATGAAACGATGACCGAAGATGCTAAGCATGATGGGGTCAACCTCTCGATTCTCCGATGCCATGGCAGACCTAGTTACGTGTTAGCTCCATCTACACCTCAATAACAATGAAGGATTTACTCGGTCTTTGCTCCCTGTTTCTCTAGGTTGATGACTACATGAGTCTTGAGGATAATCGCTGTTGCTTTGGGCGTCACGACAATTGTCTGTGTACCGTCTGCAAGCATGGCAGGTCCAGGAATAGAGTCGCCCACTTCAAGATCCTCGAGCTTAAAGATGGGAGTTTCGTTCCTACCTCCTTCAAAGTAAACTCGTTGACTGTTGAGCTTCTTCTTGTCGGAAACCTCTTGTTGCTTCAAGTCTTTGAGCTGCTTGTCCACTGTATCATCCTGGTGTCGGAAACTCTTGCCGATACCACGGACACGAACATCGTCAATGATAATGTCTCGTTCGTCAAGTGTGAAGCCGAACTCATATCTGTGCTGCTTAACGAAAGCTTGGCCAAAATCCCATTCTTTTCCGTCAAAGTGTTCTTTGGCCTCTTCTGCTGTCGGTCTAACAATCATAAGGGCTGATTCAGTACCGCGATATCTCATGTTGAGATATTCCTCAAAGGCAATCTCATCTTCTTGGAATCCTTGGTCGCTGAGAGATTTTCGTGACTGATCCTTGAGCTTCTCCATTTTCTTCTTCAGTTCGTTAACTGTCTTGTCATCGTTCTTCCATACCAACGAATCGGGCTCCTGTCGCTCATCGACAACATCTGCAAGAGCCATACCATATGCCGAAAGAACGGAGGAATATCGATGGACCAGAATCTGTTGAATGCCCAAGGACTCTGCAATTGCAACAGCATGCTGACCACCTGCGCCTCCAAAGGTAGCGAGTCGATGTTTCGAAGAATCGTGACCCTTGGCTT